ATGGAGACACCAACCTCTACATTTGCAAATGTTTTGATGGACAATAGCTTTTCAGATTGTTGTTGCCTTAAACATTCGACCAAAAGTGAGCCACTACGGAGACGAGTAACATTTTTCACCTCTCCGCAAATACCAGAAATAGCCTTTGAAATGGCAAATGGATTGAGTTTGAGAGGAAGAAAGTCCGAAGCCTCAATAACAAGAAATCTAGCCCATGAGTCACTGTTAGAAGACACATGTCCAGTAGAGAGATCTAATTCCTCTAAGCGTCTCTTTTTTTCATTTCTAGTAGAACCAGATAGTGGAAGTGCCATGATGAAAGGAAAAATATTCAGCACCCCTGCTCCCCACCCACCACGGAGTGTCGACAAGGACGATGTCAAGATGCACCGGATCTCCAAGATGCTGACACCAGGGATACAGGGGTGTTATACTCCAGAGAATATGACGTGAACAGCTGTATTTGTCTACCAATTCAATGCCAAACTGGTTCAGAAAGTGAACAAGAAATTGAAGACATACATTATTCAGAGGTCAACATCACCAGATTGGCCCATGAGCCACCGCCTTCTGGCATAGGACTCTAGGCAATATAGTATAATAAAAAATTATACAATAGAAATCGAAGTTACCAATACCCAATAACAAGTTCAATGTGCAAAAATAGTCACCATGCACAGGGTTTGGCGTGACCAGCCGATTGATAGAACCGGGCCAGTTCTATCACCCTTCTAGGTGAAGTAAGGGCCGAAGTGGTGTGTTGGGCAACAGGAACACGGTTCCAGGATCCTATTGCCCTCAACCACCAGAATCCCGTCCTCCACCGACACAGGGGCGCAACCCACGGCAAATGGGTTGGTGGACCAAATATCCCCCCGGGTCCACAACGGGGGGTCGAAGGGCGCTTAGCGTTACCCAGCACCCACCACGAGGAGGTGGCCCTTCATGGGTGCCCAAGAGTCTATGTACAGTGATTTATCGACCTTCTTGAAAACCGTCAAAATTAAGAATGACACCCCATGCACGTGTACGGGCTACAGCGTTGTGCACGTGCATCCCATGCGTTGTGTTCAGGGCAGTATTAAAAAGAAATGGTTGTGCGTACATTAGATGTCTGTCTTCGAAAAGTTTGTTAGCGCTTATACTACCGATTTAAATTGAAAGTTCAGTTTCCCCTGCATAATACGTATTTGTGTGAGTGTGTGAAAAAAAAGCCATATAGCTCGATGTGCATCCGATAAGAGATCCTATTTACAATTCTGCTCAAATTATCAGCCACCTTAACCAGATTGAATTACATGCGAGACATTGAAAACCTTCAAGACGAGATCAGAATTTGCTTGAGCTGATTACCTTAGCGACTGTGTGGGTTCAAATAATTGCTTGTTCCATTTTGTTCTCTAACGTCTACCGATCGCCCGCTTAGATATAGGAGTAGCAATGTGGCAAGTACAGCTGCACTAGAACCACTGTCTAAAACGTGAATGGATTCATTGAATGTATTGCCAACCATTCTATATCCCTACGTTTAAAACGGAGGTAAAACAAGGGAGTATATATTTTTGTGATAGACAAAAGAATAAAACTGTAAACATATACCACATTTTCGGATTTTACATCCGCGGTAGTATTATAGTAATAGTACTCTCATAATGAGGCATATAATCTACAACAACCGAAATGTCAAATCACCTCAGCCACCTATGTTTCGAATGATTCTGTGACAGGATGAGTGAGTATAGTTTTACACCGCACACAACAATATTCCAGCTATATGGCGGCCGTCTGTAAATAATCGAGTCTGGACCAGACAATCCAGTGATCAACAGCATGCGCATCGATCTACGCAATTGGTATACGATATGTGATCCCGTGATCCCTTACGACCAGCATGGGTTACTAAAGATCAATTCTAACCTGCATTTTCACGAGTCGTCACAGGATGACATGAGTATAATATAAACCTTTTATAAGAAAGGATAGGATTTTTATTAAAAACAATGTTGTAGGATTTTATGATGTTTTTTCAGTCTCGCATTCAGTCTATATGGTCCCAGTAGATATAGTGTTGCACAACGTACATATTCTATCCTTGATGTATCTCTAACCACCTATATTTAAATCAGTGAATGTCCAAACATTCCACGAACCTGGTGGTAAACAGCGTAAAACAACACAATAAGTTATGCCACTAAATGTGATACTACACGATAGAGCTTCCTTGGAATCAGTGGACCTGCCAGCCTGCAAGGCATCCTAGACTGATTAACGACGACTTATTCCTGTTGATTCCGACGGGGTAAAGACTCCATTTCCTTTCCCTGACAAAATGCTAGTGGTCTTGTTTGTGTTATTTGCGAAAAATTACAGTTTGATTTCAGTATGACGGATTTTTCACAGCCTTCTACACAGCCTGACAAGACATTACATTCCCGTTTCAAAGATATGATTTAGGGGTGGTTAAATGTCTTGCCATGGCCTTCCCGATCACCAGATCTAAAACCCGATAGAACACGGATGATCTCAATCGACGTGTACGTCAACGTCAAAACACGGCTCTGACACTTCCACAACTGACCATCGCATTGCAGAAAGAGTAGGGAGTAATTTGGCAAGAGTGACTTCGTCGACTTATCCAGTTTGTGCCGAGACGGTGACGAGCAGTAATTGTTGCCAATGGTTTGTCATACAATGTACTGACTTTGACGCCATCTTGTGGACTCAAGTAAACAGAAACACAACACTAAAGGCTACTGTTGTGTTGATGAACTCTTTGTCTATAGAGTCTGTATTTTCACCCTGTCATCATTCTTTTCTTACTTTCGAACTGATTTGTACTTTCTGCTGAGGGCGAAGGTGTCCAGCCACTTTCGATCCTCAGTCCGTTTCAACGAACACTGAGGTGCCGGAAACCTCACACATCTGTATGAAAATGAAGTGACCCTAATACCTGTTGTTGTCACTCAGCTGTTACTCGGACACCTTTACATTAGCCGATGGAGACCTAAAGAAAAGTCAATTTGTAATGGCATTGGTTCATTCTTGGTACAAATTGGAACTTAATTTGTAAAGCTCTTGTAGAGGTACAGAAAATGTCGTCTGCTAGCAAGTAAACAAAGGGGATAACTCTTCACAAACTAATGAAAAGGATTAGCAGGTTGTCTCTCTTGAATGAAACCAAGCACTTGATAGCTGGTCAAGGTTGTTTATACTAGAAATCCAATTAAACATATTCCTAAAATTCTCAATAATTTCTGGTCATACTATATTTCGATGCCAAGTATATAACGTTAACCGATACCCACTGTGTGTATTGATATACCAACAGTGAATGATGACACGTTTTATAACGCTCAAATCTCCATGCTTAATAGCTTGTAGTAAGAAGAAAGGGAAGGCATGGCTACTTATGTCCCATTTGTAAGTTCAGAGAATATGTATATGCTTTTCCTGTAACGGGGTTAACAGTGTCTAACTGAGGATTTACACCAGCTGGCCCGAACGGTTCAATCTTATTCTTCAACAAAACATAACGATTTCCCTGCTATGCGAAATAAGTTCAGTAGACGGATACCTCAGCGGTAATCCCAAAGTCACTAAGTCCATTTAATTGTAGCGACCAGTCCCTCACTAATTACCAGCAAGCTCCAACCCACGAACGCGCACGAGAATCATAGAGTCATCGTGTATTACGTCTAGTGTTTACCATAGTTTAAAGGAAAGTCGATTTGAGCAACGAATTTTGGTAATTATCCGGTAACTAAAGAGCCAGACATTCGAAGCCAGGCATTAACAGGGTAAAATAAGGACAAGGATCTGTCTGCTGTGGCATCTCAATGGGCTAGCGCTATAACACCGACAGTAGACAATGCTATAACACTCTGTCTTTCTCTCTCTCCCCTCACACCCACACTCGCACACACGAACGCACGCACTACTAAAACTGGAAGGTTTGCAACACTTACACTTCAGCGGTTCAGTGAACCTACAACTTGACTCATTTATTGGTGTCATTCTTGATATGCAGATGTGGTACATTGTTTTGCAAGTCAAAATTTCGACTCTGTAGCTTGTGTGATTATACATGACGGGGACTGATGAACAGTTATTACAAATCGTGAGATTTGAGAAGTCGTATACACCGTTTGTGGTCACTCAAGACAGACGTCATGTCAATCAAAGAAATAAAAGTGCAGTTCATCTTTTGAAATTCCTAATAGTTTCTAGACACTGCGGCGCAGTACAGATCTACCACGTGAATTCCTCATTCTTCACGTTTGTTTCTGTCACTGTGCCTTGATAAAGAAAGAACGTATTTGTGAGCACTACTGAACTGACAACAGCTCTCAAAGGACAGGACGAAGTTTATTACTGTCGAGCAATACGTTTCAGCCAAAGAATATATTCTCATACGTCCCAAACTCAAAAATTTGAAAACAATATTTCAGACTGTACGTATCAGAAATAGAAGGTGTATCTTACAGAAATCAATGAAGTTAATACATAATTAAACAAGGTATATCCATTGTCGCATTTAAGGAAAATGACATACCACAGACGTGTAGGGTTTTCTGTTTAAAGGGGCATTGGTTAAAGTTGATGTTATCCAATGCTGCTCCGTACACTAACAGGGATGTCAGCTGCACACTTCATAGCAGTAAATGTCGCAGTCACAAGATGTAGGATAACAAATATCGGTCTGGTCATATTAAAAAAATATACACCTGTGCATTAATTAAGCACCACCCTATTTTGAAAACAAGATGTGATGCTACAGAAACGTTAGGGTATAGCCATTAATGTAATCAATGTATAGTTAAAGAAGCTTTATCCACTGACAGTTTTACAAATACCATAACCTATTCTATTCTTTATGAAAGAATATGTTGATAAAAATGTGACGGGACTGAATTTTTACCCAAATAAATATTCCTCTCCTGCTCAAACTACACAATTAAAATTAAGTTTTGACTAAAATAACAATTCTGTTATATACCAAGATGACATTTACATTAAGTGGCTTTAATTATGCATAACCAGGGAAAAACCCGAATCTCAAAGATTCAGACACATTTTTCAACAATTCAGATTGCTAATTGACAAAAACTGAAAAGGCCACATTAATAAGATTTTTGGAATAATTTTTTTATGATTTTGAGTTTATTGTAATGAATAAACACTTCTCCTTGCCGGATACTGATAATTACAGCTATCAGCTGTTTGTTTTGTTTGTAAAAGCAACTTTTACTGCATTTTAAAATGTTCCTTTCTTTTTAGTTTAAATGTGACTTTTCCTAAATCTTCGTTTACAAACGTTCATCCATTCACAATAAATAACGAATTTATAGGCCACACAACAATCAATTATTACCTCAACTTTTCAAAATCAGGTAACTTGTTTTAGGACAGAAAAACACCTCTTTTAAATATAGGCAATTATCCTAATTAAAATGCATGGTAATTTCAATGATGTTTTTGCGTTTATGAAATGTTAAATGCTTGCTCTATCAAATTATAAAGGTTATTTTTTTGGAAAGAGTTTAGAATTTCATTTCAGACCAAAATTAATCGGTAAAAATATAGGGTGGTGCTTAATTTATGCACAGATGTACATACTGCTTCCGCCGCCTCAAATTATACCTATTTCGCTTGGCTTATATTTTAGCATTTCTTTATATGTTGAAAGGGGGCAGAGGATGTTCCAGTTTAATACCTGTCACAATTAACATCTTATGTTGATTCGCCCTAAAAGTGCAACAGCTACTCCATGAAGATGTGCATATTATTCCACCCTATCGGCCATAAGTACGAGTGGAAGCCCTCTAAACCGGCATACGTTGGGACCGGCAAAATGTCGGTATAAAGGGCGGTATGCCGGTTTAGAGAACTTGACCCTTGTCACCCTGAAAATGATCTACACTGGCACTTTCTCCGATCACTCTAAACTGTTTTGATGTCGTATCATTGTCTTCAAAGGTACCAGCCAACCATCTGATGCCTTAAACTCGTTGACCTTTGATTCTGGAAGCAAGCTGAATAGCTTTCTCTTTCAAAATAGGGCCAGAAATGGGCATGTTTTTACTGCGGGCAGTCAAAACTAATCATGCGTCAGTGTGTTAATTTTGTCAAATTTACTGACACGTGTCACTCGCAATTTACCTCACCTACTTATCCATACTTTTATTGTCCAGGCAACATCAATGAAGCTTAATGCCGTTGGAAATAAACCGTTCTTCTAAACGGACTCACATCACGCCGGTGCTTAAACAACTGCACTGGTTACCAGTGAGGGCCAGAATACAGTTCAAGATACTTTGTCTCACGTATAAAATCACTTCATGGTCAGTCTCCTCCTTACATATCTTAACTCATAACTCATAACTATATTCCAGCCCGTGAACTGCGGTCACAACAGCAGAATCTCCTGACAGTACCTCCCTACAAGCTTAAGACCTTCGGTCACAGATCCTTCCCTGACACGCTGCTGCAGTCTTGAGGAACTCGTTACCCCTTGACCTGATGCTCGCACCAACTCTGGGCTCCTTTAAAAGCCATCTCAAAGACGCACCTTTTCATTCAAGTTCTACGACTCATAAACGGCTCCACTCTTACTGGCCGCCTATTGTTTTAATTGTAGCGCCGCTGAGGCATGCTTACGAGCGTGGATTTATTGCGCACTATAAATGGGCACTATTATTATTATTATTATTATTTAACCCAATGTGTTGTTAATACACGTTCAGCCAATCAACCAGTTAACAGGAGAGCCGAGATACCGGATGCCGAATTAAAGAGCGTTAATTAATGTGCAAGCATTAACTCATTTTTCAACTACATGTAAACAAGCACTTGACGGCCGTCCCCGACATAACTTAGTTGTGCGTGCGACGTTAAATAAAGCAAATAACAACAACTTGACGAGTTGATTGGTATCTATTTGTGCACCTCCACGCATTATGTTCTTCGATCCAGACAAATTGACGTTCTCACGATGATCTTAAGATTATCGTTACATTTCTTGCCCCTACATGATTTTGTGAAAATATATGTGTACTAAGTACGCATCGTGTTAAGACACGTATAGGTTGGCGAGCAGCTGGTAAACATGACACCCTCACATGTTCCTGAACGTACGACGCGACCTACAGCAATGTCTGGCGCGTTTCCGAACAATAATGGACACAAAGGGGAGCAGTTGATGCCTTTTTCAATGCTTGTATAATATGTGTAGAATTACAAAATTAATACATGAGACGTTTCCTGGACAAGAATGTTTTTTTGATTGTGGATAATACGTTTGGGAGAAATTCCTTCCATGTTCAAAGAAAAAACAAATAAGTTTGGAAATAGTCAGCTTATTAGTCATAAATGCTCATCTTTGTAATCTGGCAGATTATATTTTGCCTTTCTCTATTACTGGTAATGTGTGAGTGAGTGAGTTAAAATTTAAAAATCACATCGGCAATATATCAGCCATATGGTGACTAAATGAAGATATGGTTTAATAATAATTAAAAGGTAAATTATAAAAACCTGTCAACGAAGGACAGTAAAACAACTAGAAAATCACAGTTATAAATGTAAAACTAGTAATTAAAATCTAAAACAGTTTAGCTCTCGAGGGACAATACAATGTAAACTAGGCTATAGATTGCCAACAACTGAAGGTAGATCACCATACTAGAAACTAAGAGAACTTACAGTACATTTAAAATTTTCCTGCAATCGCCAGCGGCTGAAGGGCTGGTGTAAATCCAACTAGGGTCCATGCGGGTAGCAAAGCAAGCGCTGTGCGTCCCCATGGTCATGTGTTGCTACAGGGTGTTGTTATTATCCGTAATAAAGTTCTCACCCCGTAACCACTGTCCTGGATTTGACCCGTGAAGATCCGGGTTAGAATATTGATCTTCAGTAACCCATGCTTGTCGTAGGAGGCGACTAACGGGATCGGGTGGTCAGGCTCGCTGACTTGGTTGACGTACATGTCATCGGTTCCCAATTGCGTAGATCGATGCTCATGCTGTTGATAACTGGATTGTCTGGTCTAGACTAATTTATTTCTAGACCGCCTCCATATAATCTCGAATATTGCTGAGTGCGGCGTAAAACTAAACTTACTCACTCACTGTCCTGGATTTATTGACATCAATCCCACTATCCTGGTCACAATATGCTTCATGCCTGATTGCAAAATGCGAGTGACATATTATGGTTTGAAAATATTAACGGTGATGTGGGTTGTCACACTATTCATTTTGATTATAGATTATCAGCGCAGCTCATTTGTCATTTATAAATGTCAAGTAAGTAAATGCATACATAATGGGTGATTAAATTATAAACAATGTAAAGATCTTCTGTAAATAGTCATGCCTCGGCCTGGCGTTCCTCACAGCATGACGTCACATGTCAGGAATGATGACACAAATTCATGCCTGGACGAGAAGATGCTGACTTTCAAACATAATTTAGACTGTCAATTTGACTGCCGAATTCGTTTGAACTGAGACAAAGAAAATTAATGTTGGTCTTCGAGGAGTCCAGAAACTTGGCACGACTAAAAGGTTATACCGTCCCCACTGTGTAATTAAATTCAATGTTCCACTTAATTAGGCATTCACCTATTACATTACATGGGTTTAAATGTATGCACATTGATCTACATATAAAACTTTCAAATTACCTGTCCATTAAGTCCATTACAATCATCCGTTGCTTGGTCTTTGCTTGGAATAGTTTTGGATACCAGAGTCTAGCAGTTCACACTTCAGAAATGACCTGGTACATGATTGGTACATCTGACCTTCTCCACAGAGTGATGGATTAGTATGAGCGATGGGAATTGATTGGTGTCTAGTAAAGAGCAGTTTCATTTCGGAAGGTAGGGCGGTGGGGTAGCCTAGTGGTTAAAGCGTTCGCTCGTCACGCCGAAGACCTGGGTTCGATTTCCCACATGGGTACAAGGTGTGAAGCCAATTTCTGGTGTCAACCGCCGTTATACAGCGGTTAAAGCGGCGTAAAACTGAACTCACTCACTCACTTCATCATTTCAGATAACCGTTAAAGCTTTTTGTCTTCCTCCTTTGTACAATTTCCATCCATGTGATGATCTTGTGGATGTGAAGTTTGTGAACGTTTCCTTGTAGTACTTCGAGGGTGCTGACACAGAGGAGTCTCAGCTCAATATTGATTTCGCAACCACAAAAAAAAACCAGCTAAAAGAAACTATTCAATTTTGCACTATGAAACTCTACACAATGGCGGGTTCGTGGAGAAATGTTATTTCTTCCTGAGATGTGAAAGCAAAGCAAGAAATTCTTTTGGTATCATTTCTGATATTGAGTCATTTTTCTTGAAATGTACGCCTGCGGAAACTACGTAGTGGCCAATACTGAATATTCTCTGGCGTTCACATATCATATGAAATATCAACGGCTAGAAAAAGTGTTGAATATAAAACTCAGCAACAATTACGCACGATAATTCAGACAGCACCTACACAGAGAAATGAGGTTCTAAAATGGAAAACGACAAACCACTGGAAGTATCTTTTTGGAATTGGCTTTTAAGTAGTCATATTCAGTGTGTATTGATGAATCTGACCGTCAGCACCGATATTAAAGGATGGGCCAGATGCAGAATATTTTCGGATATTTTTCACCCGAAATTTATCACTTGTCTTTGCATGAATTTGTAACGGGTGTTAGATTGTGGGGCCGGAGACTTCTTGATAATTGACCCGTTGTTTTCGATTATGTCTGCAGTGTGAGATGCTTGAAACATGGCTTAGAACAAACTAATGCTTAATCTGAATATATAATTTTTAGGTAGTAACAAGCAAGCCCATTTTAAATTGAAAAGGAGCCCCAGGGAGACCAGCTGAGGAAATCTAGACTTGCTTTATTTAGGGCTTTAGCACTGCAGATAGGGCTTAGCGGTAAGGGAACATAATGTGGTTCAGGGACTGTGAGACAGACTAACATGAGGACGGATGATCCTTTATACCCCGTTGC